ATGTCAGGCCTTGAAGGCTCAGCACTACTTCCTCCACCGAAGCCCCCAGTGATGGCATGACCTATTGTGTGCCCGACAGCAGAGCCCACAGCCACGCCGGCTGCAGTGGTTGCCATCTGGGCCATGAGACCGGGCTGCCGGGGTGCAGCCGCAGGTGATCCAACAGCAGATGGGGGAGCCGCTGCTGGCGGCTGAGCTGCGGGCGCTGGTCTCGGTGCAGCTCTCATCTGTGGGGCCCGGCTGGCCGGAGGGGCCATGCGGGAGGTGCGGCTCCGGCTTCCACGCGGCATGGTTCCTGGCGGAGTGGCCCTGCTTCCAGACGTCTGAGACTCGGCGGAGACCCCAGCGGCTTCCTTGCCTGCATTTATTTATTAAAGTTTTTATTTATTTGACAGATCACAAGTAGGCAGAGAGGCAGGCAAAGAGAGAGGAGGGAGCAGGCTCCCTGCTGAGCAGAGAGCCCGACGTGGGGCTCGATCCCAGGTCCCTGGGATCATGACCTGAGCTGAAGGCAGAGGCTTAACCCACTGAGCCACCCAGGCGCCCCTAAAGACTTAATATTTTAAGGGCCAGACTCACCTGCGTAATCATGGGTCTGTTGCATCCAAGGTATTCAACCTCCCTCTGTGTCCACATTATAAGGTCAAATCTACAGCAAAAACTTCAGATTTATTTTATGTGAACAATGCTCTTTCTTCCTCCCCCAAACGGTCCCTGATAAGCTTCACCATAAAACCCACCAATATGAGAAAACAATGACTCTGAAGTCCTGAAAGAGGGAAGGATTCCTAGGAACAGGGCTGAAAGTATCAGGGCCTATTTAGCCAGAGTGATGCCATCTGGTTAAATAATGACTTTGTTGTTTATACAGTAAAACTTAAACTGTCCCTGCCCCCCCCCCCACTTTCCCCAGGGGACTTACTTAAATCCCAGAAACTAGTCCCAGGTAACAAAGCCCAAATACAAGGGTGGGCAGGCCAGGTGGAGGTATTCAATCAGTGGGGGCGCAAACGGTCTCCTAGCTACCAAGGAGTATGGGCCCCGCCCTTTGGGCACCTTTTGGGCGCCAATTCTGACCAAGATGATAGGCTAGTTCAAATATCTACTATAGGGTAAATTGTAATTCAATTGGTCACTTATGTTTGACCTAGCAGGACCGTGCAGCTTTCTCTGTGTTACAATCTCATTGGCTACCTGTGCGTGGCCAGGCCCAACCACATGGCCTTTGCCCTTAAAAGCTAGTCTGTAAGGCAGAGGGTCGTTGCCTCTTTGCAAGAGACGTCCCTGGCCAGTTTGATTCTTGATGCTTGGCGTGAAATAAAGCTTTGCTTGACCTTTGCTTTGTATCAGTCTCACTCCTTGGACCATGGACCCAACAAAAGCATTAGTTAAGAAGAGGAAAGATGTATTTAGAAAGATGTATTTTTGTAGCTATCATTTGGGAGAAAAGTAATTTTTTGGTGAACAAGTGGAATGTATCGATGCTAGGGACTACACGGTGCAGGCAAGAAGAATGAAGTTTAGGAATAAGTAGAGACACGAAATCCTGCCCAAGAAACATGAAGGGAAAGCAAGCAAATTGTAGGACAACGTGTATAACAGAATCCCATTTGCCTGAAAGGAAAATGGCGGACTACTGCGACATGTGACTTGTGTATGCAGAGACAGGTTCATATATGCCTAAGTCTAGAAGGATGCTATTGTTTCCTCTGAGGAGAGGTGAGGGAGGGAGAACTTTACTTTTGACTTTATATAGACTCCAGTATCATTTTTAGTATTTTTTTTTTAAAGATTCATTCATTTCACATAGAGAAAAGAGCAAGCAGGTGGACAGAGAGGGACAAGCAGACTCTGCACTGAACCTGGAGCCAGTGGTGGGGCTCGATCCCCCATCCCTGAGATCAGGACCTGAGCCAAAATCAAGAGTCTGACACTTAATGCACTGCACCACCTACGTGCCCTGGTATCATTTTAAAGAAGGATTTCTCAGGGTTCTGGGTGGCTCAGGCAGGTGTCTGACTTTGGCTCAGGTCCTGATCTCAGGGTCCTGGGATCAAACCCCCACCCCGCACCCCATGCTCACGCATGTGCGCTCTCTTTCAAATCTCTTAAAAAAAAAAAAGATTTCTCACCTTTGCAATTAAACCAAGCTAAAACACCTACCTGATATTTAGAGAGCAGTGGCAGTTGAGCATGGAGCAGCACGTTGCAGGGGTTGGAAAGGTGCCAAGGCCAAGGGAAGCTGGGTTCACGGACAGACACAGCAGCACCTGATCGCCTGGTTCTCCCACGCTGCCTTGGTCCGGAGTGAGCCCCGCCCGCTGTGTGCCCCCGCCCTCCTTCCACCCTCCTCCCATTTCCAATGGGAAATGAGAAAGTACAGTATATGCCTTCTTAATTTCTCAGATCGCAATCTGCAAGGACGTTCTGTTGACAGCATGAATGTTCCATCCTGCATCTCACATGCTGTCCAGCAAGGTGGGACACTGGCCACATCTTTATTTCAGCCCTTTCCAGAAGCAGAAAGGACTCTATTGAATTACGATTAATATTCTGGAAGCAAAAACTTCAAATTAATTTGGGAAGATGCAGGGCAGAATGGTGGGCTGATGAGGGGTTGTTTTCCAAGGCTGCTAAAGAATGCTTACAGTTAGAATCAGTATTAGTACCCGTGGCCGAGGCTGAGTGGTTTGCTTATGTCCACAGCTGATGGAAACCTCCCCCAGGGCCTCAGAGTGCTTGGCAGGAGTGGGGTCATACACAAAGGACAGGTCTTTTATTTCCAGGCTTTATTTCATTCTTTAAATTTTCACAGCGTAAAACATAACTTTAGCTTAACATTTCCAGTAGCCACCCTCTAGGACATAATAGTTTTTTTGAAAAAACAGACAAAAAACCTTCATGTTCTGGCCTCAAACACTTTCCACAAGAATGTTCTGGATGGAGGGAGCTTTAAAAGTGCAAAATAAAGAAACAGCCAGGCGCTAACTTTTCATGAGTTTGGTGGGGGGGGGGGTTATTTTACACTTGGGTTTGCCCACAGAGGCCTGCCTCTCCCTCAGTATGCTCTGCCATTTCTTTTTCAAGATCTTATTTTTAAGTAATCTCTCTACCTGACATGGGGCTTGAAGTCACAACTCTGAGATCAAGAGTCACGTGCTCTACCTCCTGAGCCAGCCAGGCATCTCTCCACGCCTCCTTATATTCTGAAGACGGCCACGCCTGACTTCTGACGCGCCAAGTTCAGTTCTGGAAAGCAGGGAGTGTCGAAGAGGACACAGAACTCCAGCAGCCACTGCCCAGATCCAAACCGGTTTCCTGCCAATGGGCCTTCTGTGTGAAAGAGAAGAAAGGAATGAATCAGATGACCCTTGACCCTCTTTGTTCAGGTACTCCACCCAGCTTCCTCAAGGCCCTGGGGCCTGGCTCCTCTGAATGCTGCCTGGGGAAAGGACACAATTGTGTACCGAAGGTGGCCCGAAGGTGAAGGTGAGAACCTTCTGTGACCGGCACTCCAGCTACAAATGAGGCCTGTGGACCAACAGCACTCTTGCTTTTTGAATCAAACAGTGCCTTTAGAGTCCTTCTGGAAGATCACAAAGCTCCTGTCTGACTCCTCTAGGAAGAGCTCTTCTTGTAACCTTGGCTTATTTAGAGATAGGCTTCTTACCAACTTCCCCAGGCAACTTGTTGCTTGCCACATGGCAAGCAGAAGAGATGGGACATTGGGGACTTAAGGAAAAGAGGAGGGAATGTTCTAGCTCTCCTTCATGTCTGCATGGGTGAATTTGCAGTTGGAGGCTGGGGACTGAGCTCCTGACCTTGGCCTCCACTGTAACTGGGGTGCTTCCTTTGGTTTGTAGCTAAGAATGTTGGAGAGAGAAAGAAGAATGGAAAATAAATTCATTCCTACTTTAGAGCTTGCCAAATGGAAGGCGGGATGGAGACACTTTCAAGTAAACACAGTGACTAACAAGCTGAGAGAATGAGAGCCAAGGCCAGCTCTGAGCCAGTCCCTCATTTCACCTGGAGCCCCAGAACCCCAGAGCATTTTCTCACTTGGCAGCGTTCAGTAGAAGGCTTATTGCTTTCCAGATCCTTGAAGAATCCTCATGCTTTTTCTTCAACTGCCCGGGAGCTCCATGCATACTGTGGGCTTCATGTGATACCCTGGTGAGGTAGGTGAGCGGCAAGCATCCCTAAGCCCACTTGGGAGAGCGCAAGGGCCTGACGAGACAAAGAGTTGGTGACTGAGGAGCAGAGATCTGAAGCCTCCGGTAACGTTCCAGTCATAACCAGCCCCCACGCAGGCTCACTTTCACACAAGCACCATGACCCAGCTTGTCAGGAAGCCCTGTGGACACCAGTTGCTGCCCACAGAGGCTAAGAATATCCGGGTTCCTCCCATTGGTCTAAATTGAGGCTATAGGAGGGGAAAATCCAATTAATGTCAGAACAAGAGAGGAAGAGAAAGGCAATCTTCTCCCTAATTCCTGTTTCCAGCGCTGGTCCCTCAGGCACAAGTGAAGCTCTTCGCCTTAAAGCTTCTGGCCCAGGGCCTGGCCCTGCTCTGAGCACCTCACTAGGGCCCAATGGCAGCCTCGCAGCTTCCACCTCTGCCCGGCAGGCAGACCGTGGCAGAACTTTTCACAGAAGCTCCCCTGGCAGAGGTGGGAGGGACAGGCTGGGAAGGAAGAACACAGAGAGCTTGTTCAGGGCTGGCTGCATGCTCAGTCTGGATACGCCCTGGCCTCAGCCCCAGAGCCCAGTGAGCAAGCAGCCAGGCCTCCCTGAACTTGCGAGTGCTAGAACTGACTTTGTCCAACCCAAGTCCTCAACTCCACACAGTTGATTTTGCTCACAGCCGTAGCGCCTTCAGGAATGGCTGGTCAAGGCTGGGCAACAGGAGGATGGGAGGGTGGTTCTGCCATGCTGGCTCCTTTTGTTGGAAAAATAACACTTTCCCTCTGAGGTAGGAATGTAACTGGGCGCAGCCTTGGCTAACACTCCACATCCTGCAGCTCGATCTCCTCGGTGGTGCTCTCTGCAAAACAAGAGACAAGCCCAGGCAGGTCCCCATCAGCTCCGGGTGGGGGGGGGGTTCTCGGGGAGACCAGGCTAACATGCATCCCCCCAACCATGAAAGCGTGACTGGATGATCACAGGGCCCAAAGAATTACCTTTGAGTTTGTGTCTTCTCTTCCTCTGGAATTTGTATGCACACTTGTTACACACCCACATGAGGCTGATTAACAGCGCAGCCACAGCAGCGAGGAAAGCGAGGAAGACGGCAACAAAATGGAGGTCTTCGTAGAGGATCTCTACGGGGCAGGGAGGGGAACGGGGAGACAAGGTCTCTTTCAGTATCATGAAAGCACTCCCCCCCACCAAGGCTGGCAGTTCAGCGGGGGGCCTACCCCCCGCCCCGTCTTGCCTGACACGTGCAGCACGATGGTGCCAAACTGGCTGCTCCCCAGGCGCTCCGTCACCGTGATGACGTAGTAGCCGGAATCCCTCACGCCCACACTGAAGAGCTGGATGGAGCCGTTGTCGAAGGTGCAGAGTCGGTCCTTGTGGCTCTGGGAGATGTTGGCCTGAGTCCCTGGCTTCCACTCGACGAGCTTCTGCGCTCCCCAGTTAGACGTATACTTCCACTCGATGGTGGGGATGCCATGGCAGGAGTACTCAACCGAGAGCAGGATGTCCTCCTCCACCGTGGCATTGATGGCGGACTGGGGGATGTACAGTGACACGCCCTGACCTGCGGGACCGGGTGCCAAAACGGGGGCAACTTATATAGGAGCTGACAGGGGAGTGGGCTGCCCGGAGTCATTCATTTATTGAGCGAATACTTACTAAGTGCCTGTTCCGTGCCAGGCTGTTGTCTAGGTTCTGGTGCTGGCCTAGTATTTGTGTCTCCAATGACCCCCGCCCCCGCCCAATCCTGAAATTCCTATGTTGAAGCCCCAACCTCCAGCAGGACTATAATTGAAGATGAAGCCTCCAAGGAGGTAATGGAGGTTAAATGAGGTCATAAGGATGGGGCCCTGATCCAGCCGGATTAGTGTCTTTATAAGAAGAGACACCTGAGGGGCGCCTGGGTGGCTCAATGGGTTAAAGCCTCAGGTCGTGATCTCAGGGTCCTGGGATAGAGCCCCTCGTCGGGCTCTCTGCTCAGCAGGGAGCCTGCTTCCCCCTCTCTGACTGCCTCTCTGCCTACTAGTGATCTCTCTCTCTCTGTCAAATAAAATCTTAAAAAAAAAAAAAAAGAAGAGACACCTGAGGGCTCTCTCTCTCTCTCATCATCTCTCCACAGGGATGCAAGGGGGGAAATGGGAGAAAATACTGAGGTTGCAGCAAGAAGGGGGAAGGCGGCTGTCTACAAGCTAGGAAGAGAGCACTCACCAGAAACTCTGCCATGCTAGAACCTTGATCTAGGGCTTTCCAGCCTCTGGCACTGCAAGAAAATAATTTCTGGTGCTTAAGCCCCTCAGCGTGTGCTATTTTGTTACGGACTAAAACTGAGTAAGACACAAGGTTCTTGTGTGCTCGATGGACAGTGAACCTCCCCAGAGGCTCCATTCTATAAGGGAGACATACAAGGGTGAAATAAACAAGATCATTTTAGATAATGACAAGCACTACTGACTGGTGAGGGTGGAGATGGCACACAGAATTAGAGAATGGTCAGGGAAGACTTCATGGAGGAAATGACATTTGAATGGAGACCAGAAGGGCAGGCAGGCAGCGTGTGGACACTCGCAGGAGGAGCATCTCAGGCAGAGGGAGCAAGCACAGAGACTGAGGGGAGGGCAAGTACTGGTGTGTCTCAGGGACAGAAAGGCCAGCATGCTAGAATGCAGTGAGCAATGCGGAGAGACAGAGTGAGGCTGCAGAGCAGGCAGGACACAGGCCATGCTGTGAGGGGTGGGCGTGGGGCTTTACTCAAGGCTGATGGGAGCCATAGGGGGGCTTAGGTGGAAGGTGATATTCTCCATTAAGCTTGACAGTGTTTGCTGTGCAGAACATTCTGGGGGGTGAGGGGACAAGAGCCTAAGCAGGACAAGCCATCAGAGGGCTGCTACAGGGGTCGGACAAGAGATGGAGGTATAGCCTCGCAGAGCATGAATGTGGTCTGATTTAGGCTACGTATTTGGAAGCAGGGAGGACAAAACATGCTGACAAACTAGATGTGGGTATGGGGGAGGCAGAGGCATCAGAGGTTTCTGTGCGAGCATGCAGATGTGTCATTTGCCATTGAATAAGGTTAGGTGTGTACACCGTTGTACATGTACTACGTAGGTACCACACACAAGCCCTGTGCCAACCACGTTCCACACATCGTCTCATCAAGGTTTCATCCACAACCTACTGCAATGCCATCAAACACAGAGCAAACCTCACTGTCCACAGGACTAACGAGCTTGGCAAAGTTCACTCTGCAAAGCAGAGAGTCACATAAGGGCTGCTGTTGGAATGTTTAACCTCTAAGCTCGGATCAGTAGTCAGTGATTGGCGGTGGCGAGCACAGAATGTGACAAATGGCCCACACCCTGAGATGACTGGACAGAGTTGGCTGGACTGGATAATGAACAGGGCAGGACTGAAACTTGGAGCGCTGCCCTTGGTTTCCACCTCCATTTCCCCCTCAGTCTTTGAGAGCCCAGCTGCCCCAAGCCCCTGCCATGTGGCTCCAGGTAACCACACCTGTTCCTTTTCCAGGCATGTCTCACTGTGCCCTCTCATCCCCAGCACATTCCCTTAGTGGTCTTCTCCTAAGGCTCTTGGCGAGGCGACTATGAATAGTCTGATAAAAGGCTTGTGAAAAACTGAGATGTGGTAATGGTTTTTTTAAGATTTTTTTTTTTTTTAAAGATTTTATTTATTCATTTGACAGAGATCACAAGTAGGCAGAGAGGCAGGCAGAGAGAGAGGGGGAAGCAGGCTCCCTGCTGAGCAGAGAGCCCAACGCGGGGCTCGATCCCAGGACCCTGGGATCATGACTTGAGCTGAAGGCAGAGGCTTAACCCACTGAGCCAGCCAGGCGCCCCGGTAATGGTTTTCAAGAATGACAACTGCCAAGTAACAGAAATACATTTTCTCCCAACTCTATTTTAAAACATGTTAAATTCAGAGAAAAGTTTTGAAAGGCAAGTACAATTAATATGTATCCTTTCCTTAGTTTACTAGTTATGAACATTTTGGCACATTTATCCTTTTCTCTCAGGAAAAAAACAGAGGTCAAATTCCAGGTCAGCCCTTCTTCATCTCTGGTGTCCCCAAACACAGTCCCTGATGCATAGTGATAGGTCAACAGGTATTTATTGACTGAATGAATAAGCGAATGACAAAATACTTAACAAGAAGGCTGAGATTTCCTGATAGAATTGTTGCTGCTGAAGTGGTATGAAAAATTAGCACATTTAAAAAGTAACACACAGGCTCAGACCTTTGGAGAACAACCTCGTCTGAGCTCGCCAGTGTTAAATAAACCTCCCATCCTGCAAGGTCTCCGAGTGCTGCTTGGTTCTTCCACCAGGATCCAGTCCAGGTTCTGCAACGTTTGGTTCCCTGACCGGGAAACCCAACCGCACTGGCCCATTGGTTTGGGGCAATGGTGGGGCAGTGCCGGAATGAGGGATCCTAAGGGAGAAGGTATGCCCTGCCTGATTTTTGGCAGTCTCCTGCCTGGTCGCCTCAGGCTGGCCCACCCTGCTGTTCCCACCCAGACTCAAAGGAGACTTGGCAGCTGAGGACCTGGTCCTGACTTTGGGATTCTGGTAAGATCTGGGGCCCTAGCACCCAGTCAGGCCCACCCCTGAGGGTGGAAGCAGAGACTGATCACCTCCCAGAGACCTCTTAGAAATCTCACAGGTAGGGCCTTCCTGGGGGGAGGTCCTTCAGGTCAGGAATCCCAGAAAGGAATTTCCAGAAGGAATTCCACAGATCAGGGCCTTCTGGAGGGAAGGAACTATAATAACTTATTGTGAAAGTGTCAGTGAATGTGCAGTTTGGCCTGGCTTGTCAGGCATATGGATTCTGTGGCTCCATCCACAGATGGGGACCCTTAGGGTCCCCAGAAGCCTATGGAGTCCGAATGGCCCTAACCTGCTTCCCTGGTGACCTCATAGGGTCTAAGGTGAGCCCCCCCTTTAGAATGCCAGTCTGGGGTTCATATGGACTCGCTAAGGCTAAGAGGCACCCAGGTGTCCTCTGGGATGGTGGACAGGGGGGCATCTGACTGGTCTGTCCTTTGAAGGGACACCCACCCTTCGTTTGTCTTCATGCCAATGACACAGGGAGGGAACACACAGGGTGGCCAAGGGAGCCTCCCTGCTCATCATGGTGAGCATGATGTCGGATTCAAAACCTATGGTCTTAGACTGTATGCTCAAAATTTTTTTAAGAAGCGATTCTCAGGAGACTATGGGATCAAAACATCTGGGAAATTCAGCACATTATGTGAACTGGAATGCGCCACCTTTGGGGTCAAATGGCCCTCTGAGGGGCCTTAAGACCACTGCCCAGGTCATTTACAAAATTATGGTCAGGACTCCCAGACACCCTGGCCAATTCCCATATATTGATTCTTGGCTTCAGATAGCCCAAACTCTGCCCCTATGGGTCCGATTCTGTGCTAATAGGAAAGACCAAAGTAGGACATTTGTAACCCGAGTAAAAGAGCCCAAAGTCTGTAAGGAAGCAAAGCCTATCAGGGAGGCCCTGGCCAGTGGGCATCAGGAGCAGCAATGGCGATGAGCTCTGGACAAGGATGAACCCGTCAGAAAGTGTGGGGACCACAGTCCTCCACTGACCTGGGGCCTAAAGGTGAGCTGCAGGAAGACAGTGCTCCTGCTTCTGGTAAGTGGCATGTGTGGGGAGATACCTGATTTAGCAGCTCTGATAGCCCACAGGAAACTTGATCCAGACAGAAACAGAATGAAAAATAACAGCTCTCATATTTACCTTTAAGAGAAAGTGGGAGGAGCGCCTGGGTGGCTCAGGGGGTTAAACCGTCTGCCTTCCTCTCAGGTCATGATCCCAGGTGTCCTTCAGGATAGGGACTTTAAGAATATTCCCAAGCAGGGGCACCTGGGTGGCTCAGTGGGTTAGGGCCTCTGCCTTTGGCTCAGGTCATGATCCCGGGACCCTGGGATCGAGCCCCACATCGGGCTCTCTGCTCAGCGGGGAGCCTGCTTCCTCCTCTCTCTCTGCCTGCCTCTCTGCCTACTTGTGATCTCTGTCAAATAAATAAATAAAATTAAAAAAAAAAAAAAAAGAATATTCCCAAGCAGCTGCCAAACCTCCTTTGTTTTAGGGAATTCCCTGTCTTCTCTGGCCTAATATGGATTGTCTATCCCCGCCCTTGTTGGTGTGAAACATGGCATCTGCTCCTCTGGAGCTGATGATCTCCTGAACCAGGAACCCTTTCCCTGCCCTCTGGTGGCAGCACTTTGTCTCTTCTGCCTCCCCATCTTTCTTTTTCCTGTTTTTGCACCACCTTGGGTGCGGCCTGCATTACTGGCTTCTAGACCATCCTTAGTGCCTTAGGCACCACTGTCAAGGAGCAAGAAGAGCAACCCTAGGAACTAACACCACCCACTCCAGATTTCCCCACGTGTCTCAGGTGAAAACTGACCATGGGGAAGATCCTAGTGGAGCATATTTCAGCATTTAAGCTAAGCTTGTTGGTTTAGTTCAGACAGATATGTCTTTTAAGTTATCAGAGGCAAACGTGAAATTGTTATTCTATCAAGGTTT